GCGAGTTTATGTGGTGCGGTGGTTGTGATATTGGGATAACACAAACATCCGAAAACATGAAGATCGTCATAGGATGGAGGAGACCCAAAAAGGAGGTGATGAGGTGTATAGTGCCACCGCGGTTTGCACGGCCGAATGTTGAGAAGAAGAGTGGCGGTGGCAAGAGCATCAGGCCAAAACCGTGCAGGCATGTGTGCATGGAAAAGCAAAGCACAAACACTCTCATTAAGTGTGCGAAGAACACGTTCGACACGACCGTTTTGCTGTGATGTGTAAGGACAAGTGAGACGAAAAATAGTGTCGTGGGTGGATAAAAGGTTGTGAATAGCAAGATTATCAAATTCTTTTCCGTTTTCCGTTTGGAGTGAGCAATGGTGCAATGAAAGTGTGTACCAATGTAAGCATAGAATGAATGGAGAGTCGAAGCGACATCTGATTTACGGTGTAACAGAAAAGTCCAAGTGAAATGAGAGAAATCATCTAAAATCATGAGGTAATATGATAAACCCGAATTGCTAGGCACCAGAGAGGTCCAAACATCACAGTGTATAACATCAAAAGGAAAGGTGGAAATTGAGGAAGATGATGTAAACGGCAAACGAACATGTTTTCCTATGCGACAGGCATGACAAGTACGATCCTCTGATTTATTACAAGAAAAAGGAAAGGTGCGCAAATTTTTGTGAAGAGCATCGGCGCCGGGGTGACCAAGATGAGCGTGCCAAAGAGTGACATCGGCATGGAGAGCAACATGTACGCCGATTGTGGATGTGCCACATGGGTAGAGGTCGTTGGGGGAATCACATCGGTGCAGAACCTTCCGGGAGTGGGCATCCTTAACAGAAAAACCAAAAGCGTCAAATTCAACAGTGACTGGATGTTCACGAGTAAGACTACAAATAGAGCATAAGTTTTTGGTTAAGGATGGAGAAACGAGCACATTATGAAGGGGTAATGACGAAGAAGAAAGAGGGAGGGAGGATGCGTCGTGGTGGGTGATGGGAAGAGTGGTACCATGACCAACAATGATGCGAGAAAAGAAAGGAACGGGAGAGGATACCGGGATTTGAAGCCATGTGAGAGCTAGCGTCGGTGTCCATGTACCGTCGCCACCGCCATTATAGTTGCTTGGAGAGGGTGTGGCATGAAGGGCGGCGAGGAGTGCGGGGTACCACTGTCCACCGGCACCACCATATGAAGAAGGGCCGCCTTAGGGAGCAGCATACGCCAATGGGCCACCGTACGCCGGAGCACCCCATATGTCGAGGGAACGGGAGCGGGCGTAGTCAGAAGCGCCTGGTGAGGCGCCGGGTGGGGACCAAGGAGGCCCGGAGCAGGAGGACGGGGGACGAGCATGGAGTATGCATGCACCACACCCGTCCAAGGGTTATACCTGACAGCCAGGGCGGAGTGGGCGTCGCGGCGGAGTTGGCAGGGGGCGCGGCGTGGGGTTGGTGGAGTGGGACCGGCCATCGCGACCCCCCGACCTTTCTGTTTCCGCCAGCCAGTAGGCACGGGCGCGGGTGGCGAGACCGGGGCAGGGGCACGGAGGGCGGGTGGAGCCGCCGGTGTGGCCGATGTGCAGCACCGTGTGGGTCGCCTACTGCGCGGAGTGGCGGAGGCGCTTCTCCTCCATCTGAAGGAAGGGGACGGCTTTGGCATATGTCGACGTGATGAGAGAGAGATTGGCGGCGGACTAGCCAAGGTTGGGGTGGAGGCCTCGAAGGAGGTTGGTGAGGAGGACGGAGCAGTCGATGGTCATGCCGATGTCACGAAGCTCATCGGCGAGCACCTTCAGCCGCGTGCAGTAGTCATCGATCAAGAGATCGTTTTGTTGCAATGTGAAGAACTCGCCTTGGAGGAAGACGCGGCGTTGGAGTTGATTGTCGAGGAAGATGTCGCACACCCGCGTCCATATGGCATGCGCCGAGGGGTCACGGGTGTTCACCATGTCGAAGATGCCCCGCGAGACCGTGAGGAAGATCCACTTGACAATGCAAGCATCAACGCCCAACCACTCTTCATCGTCCTTCATGTGCGGATGTCAATGCTCCCGTCAACGTGCTCAACAAGACGGTAGGAGCGAATCAGGAGCGCGAAGTAGGTGAGCTAGCATTGCAGGAGGGTGAATCGAGCTCGAGGATGATATGCACGTGATCTTTGATGATGAGGTCATTGAGATGGTCGGAGGTGAAAGCGGGGGCGGCAAGGGAGCTAGCGTCAGGGAGGTCATCTTTTGAGCGAGACATGGCGGAGATGCGGTGGCGGCGGCTTGAGGTGGGGCAAAAGCAGCGGCGGCGGCAGGGTGTGGGAAGGGAGACGGCGGCTGGATAGGGAAGCAACGACGGCCTAGGGTTTCGGGGGGTGGAGGGCGGCGGCGGCTTCAGGAAGGAGCAGCGGTGGCCTTAGGGTTGGGAGAGGCGGTAGCGGCGGCTGCGAGAAGTGGAAGCGGTGGAGATCGCTAGGGTAAGTGATACCATGTAGGAGGTACTAGATGCAACTCAATTGTATTCATGGGAGTTGGTTACAATATATACATGTGATGTCTTGCGTGACACGCCAACTAACTCTACTATATCTCTGGAAATCAAGCTATACAAGGCTAGAGATTATAGAAAGATCAATTAAAGATAATTACAGATATGTCACGCAACAGCCCTAAGCAGCATTAGAAGATAGTGTGTGACGAAACCACTGTTTACATTGGATGCATGTGTGCTGGACAGCGATTTCATTGTCTACGTGATAAGTTTCATCCTCGCAGGAAAGGGAAAGGAAAAAGTTCAAAATAAACCTTGAATTTATAGACGAAAACTAAATCGAACCCTAAACTTCTAATTCCTGAAATCAGCACACCAAACTATTTAATCCCGGTCTATTTTAAACATTGAGCGGGTTTTCGACGGGATTGTCTACGTGGCAGCAGGCCGAACCGGGATCGTTGGCTGCGGCCAGAAGCGACTGGGCCGGCCCACTAGGACGAATCGTGCTTTTCTTTTACGTAATGCACGGCTTAAAAATAAGTAAAAATGTGACACTGTCAGGGAATCAAACATGGGAAGTCAATCTACAGAACTACTGTGGTTAACCACTCAGACTGATGGTTGTTAGCGATAAAAGGTGAAGCGCGAAAATATTTAACCAGCAGTGTCGACATTCAGAAACATTTTCTTGAAAATTGTCAACAATTTTCAAATCCGAATATTATTAGATGATAAAAATAATTTTTCAACTTCAAAACATTTTTGCAAAGATGTGAACAATTTTTGGAATTACGAACATCTTTTAAAAAACACAAACATATTTGGAAAACACGAACCATTTTGGACTTTAAAATTTTGTTCACACTTTTTGAAAGTTTTTGAAAGATGTGAACCATTTTTGAAAGTTTGTCCACACTTTAAAATTTTGTTCAGGTTTCAAGAAAATAGTGTTTTGAAAATTTGTTCCTTTTTCCCAAAAAGTGTCTGCACTTTATTTTTTGGGGGGATTTCATAAATGATTCATGTCTACAAAATTCATTCGTGTTTTTTAAATGTTCGTAATTCCAAAAAAAATCACATTTTTGCAAAAGAGTTTGGAGATTTAAAAATTACTATTTTATTTTAGGAATATTCTTATTTCAAAATTATTGACAATTTTCAGTAAAACGCTTCGAAAAATTACAAAAAGCTTTTCAAATCTCGGCTCTGCCACGTCTCTAAATATTTCACCCTTCTCTTTTGACACAAGCAGCTATTAGGTAGAATGGCTGTCAGGATGAGTTTACTAGTGCCAGGTCGTGAGTTCGATTCTTGGTACCTTTTATTTTTTGATATTATTATTACATCACACGTTACAACAAAAACGTTAGAAAAAAGACTTTGCGCCTGGGCCGGATATTATTACATCGCACGTTACGAGAAAAACGTTAGAATTTTTCTTTTGCGCCTGGTGGGCCGGCCCAGTCGCGTCCAGCCGCAGCTGAAGATCCTGGGTTCAACCTGCTGTCTCTGTTTGGGAATACACTCAAGGTTCAAAATAAATCAGGATTAAAGAGTTCGGTGTGCTGATTTCAAGGATTAGAAGTTTAGGACTCGATTTAGCTTGGCTCTACAAATTCAAGGTTTATTTTGATTTTTTCTCAAAGGGAAAAGAGCAGCCTAGCCCATATGTAAGGGCATGTACAATGGTTTTATTTTCAGAGTGTCACGTAGGATAAATGATGAGGTGGAGGAGAGAGAAATCATAAGAGAAGGCTTGTCTTCTCTTATTTAAGAGAAGACAAGAGATGATCTCTTAGCACAATTTGTCTCATCATGTTTTTAGGAACAACTAATTATTGAAGATAAAGCTAAGAGATGATTCATTGTACACATGTTTTTTATCATATCTAATTTACATGCAAAATTTAAGATAAGACTACCTTATTAATCATTGTACATGCCCTAAAGCGTAGCGTGAGTGATTGACAAGCGCCACTTGTCGGACCACACAAGAAAAGATAACCATGTCCCGAACCACAGCAAACGAGGCCACAAACCAACAGCAAACGAACACCCCTCGCATCCCGCGCCAGACCGCGAGGACAGACTAGCGCGCCCGTGAGCCGTGTGCACCATCAGCCCGTGTCTGCACGCAACGGAACGTTTTAATCTTTTTTTCCTCAAAAAGGGACTTCTTATTTTTTTTTGCGAATTTTGCGTAACGTAACAGTCCAACAGAACACCGCCCGCGCGCACGCCACGGACGCAGCGCTCCAAAGGCAGGGAGGGCATCGGCGCCGTCATCTCCCCTCACCAGTCACCCCCACCACGCCACGCCCCCTATCGCTATCGGCCGCGGCACCGCGCCCGAAATCCTGCGCCCCGCATTTGGGCCATCTCCATCCGCCGATCCACCCATCCATCCGCGCCCGACCCCATCAAAACCCCCACCACCCCGTCCTCCCCGCCCGCGCGCACTCGTCCTTCACCCTCATCCCGCCTCCTCAGTGCGGCCACACTCACCTGACCCACGGAATGGCGTCCGGTGGCTCTGGCTGCACCGCCACGGCCGGAGCCGCGGCGCTGCTGTCTCTGGTGTTCTTGTGGCTGCTGCAGGCCTCAGCGGGCGCGGGCGCGGGCGCCGACTGCCACTTCCCGGCCGTGTTCAACTTCGGCGACTCCAACTCGGACACGGGCGGGCTGTCGGCTGCCTTCGGCGCCGCGCCGCCGCCCAACGGCAGGACCTTCTTCGGCATGCCCGCCGGCCGCTACTGCGACGGCCGCCTCGTCATCGACTTCATCGGTACGTACGTCTTCGCCTCAAACTCTCAGTACTGTCAGGAGCTCTTCAAAGTCGCTGTACTGTGGATCTTTTTTCCTTCTTATTACTTTTCACCCGTTCGATCTACCCTTCGGTTCTTCTGCACGGCTGCACGTGGGGCCCACGGGTTGATAAGGCCGAAACCCACCGCCTTCACTTGCAGGAGCCAATAAATGTAGTCTTAATTCGTTCCATGTGTAGCGGTGCAGCTGCGAAGGCAATAATTTTGAAAGCCAACCTCATACTCTACAGTGTAGTGTGTACTGTAGTTCTGAAGGAGAATAAAAGTTGGCAGACACGCAGTAACCTGTATGAGCACAGTAAAATTAGCTTGTACTCCCTCCGTTCCTAAATAATTCTCTTTCTAGAGATTTCAACAAGTGACTACATACGGAGCAAAATGAGTGAATCTACGCTCTAAAACATGTCTACATACATCCGTATGTTGTACTCCCTCCTTCCATCTATATAGGGCCTAATGCGTTTTTCTAGGCTAAATTTGACCAAATGTTAGAGCAATAATATATGACATGCAGCTTACACAAAGCATACCGTCAAACTCATATGCGAAAGGAGATTTCAATGATATAATTTTCACATTATGCATGTCATGTACTATCAATTTTGTCAATAGTCAATGGCGGTCTTGAAAAACGCATTAGGCCCTATATAGATGGAAGGAGGGAGTAGTCCATTTGAGATGGCTAGAAAGACAATTATTTTGGAACAGAGGGAGTAAAAAGTTAATTAACAACTTCTCTTGGAGCAATAAAATGCTAAGAGCTAGACCTGGAGTACGATGTGGTTTGGTTTACTTCTTGTCACTCCTGTTGTGCTGATATCTGGTCCGTGGACCTGCAAGTACTCCTGGAGTAGTCTAGAGTTAAAAAAGAAGGGATGTGTCCTGAAAGGGCCGGGCAGAGCAAGACTTTTACTATTTCTACCCTACATACCACCTTTTGTTGAAGAAGATCTGAAAGGCCATTTCATTTCGCATCCTGCCTTGAATAAGATGCGGTTGTCCGGCCACAGCCGGGCATCGGTTCATCGCCGGAAAGCGGCGGCCTTGGACTACGCGCCGCCGGAGCACGGCCGAAGCAAGCTGCACTTTGGCCCCGCCGCCGCGCGCGTGCGAGCGCCCGTGCCGTGGCAATGATGCCACCCCCATGCGCCCATCCGGGACCCGGCACGCCATCGATCGCCAGCCAGCTAGCTGCCTACCGACACCATCCTGCGCAATCCGACAGAAAGGCTAGTCAGTTGCGTGTGCGGAACATCACTCGAACGATGCCACTGCCATGCCATCGTCACGGGAAGATTTTGTGTTGGGTTGCAGCTGGAGAGTACCATCGTGCACCAGTACTCTTTTGGCTTTCGGGATGCTGGTTTTCCTTTCTAACAATGGGATGCTGATTTGAGAGGGACAGAAAGAAACGTTAGATTAATGCCTCTTTGATTTAATAATTGTTCCTTTGGTTAAGGACAGCTTCAGAGAATTTGGCAGAACTGAAATCTTTTCAATGTGTTTTTTCCCGATTCGTAGGTCGGAATTTTCCCCGGGGGTTCATTTACACTCTATTTCATACTAGAAAGTGCTCATCAACTCGAACCTCTTAGATTTTTATTTCATATGGTTTAATCAAGCAAACAAACTCAGAAGTAATTCCAAGAAGGCTATTGTGCTTCTCAAGAAACAAGGCTAGTGTGCAAGACTTCTAATCCTGCAGCACTTCATTTTTACTTTCTGTTGGTGTTAGCATTAGGTGACACCTTAGTTGGCTAGTTAGAGACCTTGCATTCTACTTTCCTAAGTAAGACCTAGATCGCTTATGTTCCGTTATCCTCTGATAGTGGAACCCAGCCAGTATAGGTCGTATGAAAATAAAAGCGTGACTTAAGTCTCAGGAAAGGTTGAGGTGGGCAACGAACAAATGTGAGCAGCTTGATGTGTGCTTTCCTGATTCGTAGATCGGAATTTTCCCCGAGGATTCATTTACACTCTATTTCATACCAGAAAGTTCTCGTCAACTCAAACCTCTTAGATTTTTATTTCATATGATTTAATCAAACAAACTCAGAAGTAACTCCAACAAGGCTATTGTGCTTCTCAAGAAACAAGGCTAGTGTGCAAGACTTCTAATCCTGCAACACTTCATTTTTACTTTCTATTGGTGACACCTAGTTGGCTAGTTTGAGTCCTTGCATTCTAGTACTTTCCTAAGACCTAGATCACTTATGTTCCGTTATCTTCTGATAGTGGAACCCGGCCACTACAGGTCGTATGGAAAAAAGAAATAGTTTGGCGGGTCTTAAGTGTCAGGAAAGCTTGAGGTGGTAGGATAGGCGGTTATAAAAATGGAACGACGAACAAACGTGAGCAGCGTGATCGTATTATATTTAGGCACACCGTACATTAATTATTGGCGGAAGAGATTTTTGCTGCGGTGTCAGAGTATGTGTGGGTGCTTTGCTTTAAATATTCTTAGTGGAAGGCAATGGGCCACTAGCTTGATCCTGCACTACAAGTTGCTTTAGGAAGACGATGGCACCGACTATCTTTCGACGAAAAGGCTAAATTGAGCTATTTGTTGCCATAACTGTCTGGAAAGAATTCAGAACCAGGACACTTATAATAAGAAATGTTGGAAGCAAAACATGCCAGTGCTGTGGTGCTATATTTAGATTAGCTGAGAAAAGCGAAATGCTCACTGGACGAGTAGAAACAGAAATTAGAACTCATCACTATCTATTGCCACATTGCAATGTGCTAATGATTTACTTTATCTTTTTCCCCCTGATGCTGCAGCTGAAAACCTGGGAATACCTTACCTAAGTGCGTACCTCAACTCAGTAGGAAGCAACTTCTCACAGGGGGCCAATTTCGCAACAGCCGGCTCGACAATCAGCCGACAGAACACATCCCTGTTTCTCTCCGGGTTCAGCCCCATCTCCTTGGACGTGCAGTCCTGGGAATTCGAACAGTTCATCAACAGAAGCCAGTTCGTGTACAACAACAAAGGTGGTAACTAACAGCTAGAGCAGATTCCGTCTACCTTAGTACGCGGAAATGAAGATTCACTCACTCTTCTGTTTATCTTTTTTCCATGTATGTAGGTGGCATCTATAGGGAGCTCCTGCCAAAGGCCGAGTACTTCTCCCAGGCGCTCTACACCTTCGACATCGGCCAAAACGACATCACCGCGGGCTACTTTGCAAACATGACCACTGATCAAGTCATAGCGTCGATTCCTGAACTCATGGAGAGGCTCACCTCAATAATCAAGGTACATCTTATAAAGATCACCACCACATGACCAAGCTAGTAGTTGGCTGGCTCGACAACTGACTGGACAATTGATCTGCAGAATATGCATGAGCTCGGAGGAAGGAACTTCTGGATCCACAGCACGGGGCCTATTGGCTGCCTGCCTTACGCTCTCATTCACCGCCCCGACATTGCCGCGGTCAAGGACAAGGTTGGCTGCTCCGTCACCTACAACAAGGTTGCGCAACTCTTCAACCAGAGGCTGAAGGAAACGGTGGCTCGTCTCCGGAAAACCTACCCCGACGCCGCGTTCACCTACGTCGACGTCTACGCCGCCAAGTACAAGCTGATCAGCCAAGCCAGCAAGCTAGGTAATGCATGCACCATGGCTTATCTGTGTTGCGTGGTGTCTTGGAGAAAGCTGAGGCTGGCGTTCTTGTCTGCAGGCTTCGACGACGCTCTGCTCACCTGCTGCGGGCACGACGCTGGCCCGTACAACTTCGACCCGAAGGTTGGTTGCGGCGGGAAGGTGCTGGTGAAGGGGAAGTGGGTGGTGCTGGGAAAGTCCTGCGACGACCCGTCCAGGAGAGTGAGCTGGGACGGCGTCCACTTCACTGAGGCGGCGAACAAGTTTGTCTTTGATCAGATCGTCGGCGGCGGGCTCTCGGACCCGCCGGTGCCCCTAAGGCAGGCTTGCCGGAGCAAAGGGCAGTGAACTAGAGGCGGATCGTTGGTCAGGCTGGCCGCGCCGCTGCTGCTGCTGCTAATTGCTCTGTAAGAGTGTACAATATGGAAAGCGTCCTTGAGTTATACAGAACGTGCCAGCTTCCTTTTGTGATCGGGGAAAGAGGGGAATGGGGATGGATAACACGGAAGAGCAACGCAATGCATGCATCCTATCTTCAATAGTCTGTAAAAGTTTTTGGTATGGGCACTGCCGGTAAGCATGAAATATGTTGGCACTTGGCAGTCTTGTATTGTTTTGATTTCGTTGTGGTTTGAGGCGAGTACTTGGATTACCAACACGAAGCAACGGGCTTGAGGGAGTGCAGATACTTCGTTGATGCTCGACGATTGGACGGTTGCAGTTCGCTTCTGCAAGTTGATTTTTTTTGGCCGATAAAGTGTGAGCAACCTTTTAAAAAACACTTCGGATCTATTCAGGGTTTGTCATTGAAATAAGAGAAACAACAGAAATAACAAAAATTACATTCAAGTCCATAGACCGCATATCGACTACTACAAACACTAGAGCGAGTCGAAGTAGCTTGGAAGACGACGCATGTTTTATCGTTTCATTTGGTTTTTAACTGTTCCTTTAATCTTTCTTTTACTTTTGCTTATATTTTGAAAATTCTAAATACACATATTCCAAATAGTACTTTACTTAATTTTCTAGAAGTGTTCATCATGCATTTAAAAAATGTTCATGCAGTGTGGAATACTTGTTCGTATAATCTTTTTCAAATGTATGTACCATTCATAAAATTTCGTGAGATCTAAAAACTATTAGGTGTTTCAAAGATATGTTTGTCATATTCAAAAAATAACAATTCAATGTAAAAATGTTCGTGCAGTTTGTACAACATGTTTCATCCATTCAAAAATGCTCGTGACATCTAAAAAATATGTTCACCTGTTTAAAAAATATGTTTGTGATTTTTTACAAAAACCATTACACATAGGAAAAATATTCGTCTAATTTTGAAAAAATGTACTCCCTCTGAAAACAAATATAAGAGCGTTTAGATCACTACTTTAGTGATCTAAACGCTCATATATTTCTTTACGGAGGGAGTAGTGTACTATTTTTAAAAAATGTTCACTCTTGCAGCAATACATTCACGACGTTCAAAAAATGTTTAATGCATATAAAAAAAGTGTTCAGCCTGTGTACAAAACATATACAAGATCTATCAAAAAAGTTGACTTGTATTTGAAGAAAAAAAGGAAAATCTAACAAAAATGGAAACCGGAAAACAATAGACTATAAAAGACAAAGAAAAGTAAAATAAAAAAGGTGTGCCATATTCCTAAACCATTCAAAGCCTGTTGAAGCTTCCACGGACCAGTGCTCAGAACCTTCCCAGAAACTGCTTCACTGGACCAACCTAGTAAGATGGCGCACCAGGCGAGGCAGAGCTATGTCTCGCAGCGAGACATGGCTCCAGTAGTTGGAAAAAAAAAGGCGCCCGCAGGAGAAAAAACAGCTTTAAAAACTAGAGCACTTAGCTAAAGAGAAAATCTAAATACATTTATTTTTTTATTGAGAAAACATCCATGAGTTCAAAAAAATCCTGAATTTTAAAAATATATTAATTGATTTAAAGAATGTTTACAAATTCTAAGAAACATGTTTGTGAATTCTAAGAAATGTTCAATAGCAATTGCTTAAAAAATGTTGTATGTTTTAAAAAATATCCACGATAAAGAGAAATCATAAAAAGAAGAAACCTCAATTTAACCAAATATTGTATGATAAATAGCCGGAAAAACAAAAACAAAAATAGAGCGTGAAAACTCAGCAAAAATAGACCGTGGAGACAACGATAACCCTAATATGAACTAGCCCAACGTGAGCCACCATTTATACACTAAGTCCACTATACTTCGTAATGGGTGAAGAAAGAGGTTTTCAGGAGGGGAGCCCCCTATTCGGCGCCTATTTTGCCGAATGGTCCCTATAGCGCACACTGGGGCCCATTAGTATTTCGTTCGCTTGTCAAATTCGCTCACTACTGGTTCACGGAAAACCAGAAGCTACTAGTTCTCGAAAGAAACCAGCTGAGAAAAAAAAGGTTCTCGAAGAAAACTGGCTCCGTCCCTTTTTATAATTGAGATGTTCATGCATTCGGAAAACGTTTGTAGATTTAGAAGTAGTTCAACTGTTGACAAAAATACTGGATTTAATAAATTTCCTGAAGTTAAACAAACGTCCATGCATATGAAAAAGAATATTTACTAAATAAATTGAAAAAGTCCACAAACTTCAAAAATAAAAATGTGAACAAAGAAGTGGAGAACAAAATGTAAAAGAAAAATGAGTAAAATATCAAGCGAAAAACACATAAATGGAAGTAAAAAAGTCGGACCAGAAGAATCTAGAAGCTGCCCAAAACCGGTGTAAAAACTGACCCACTACTGAAGTATCTGGACAAGCACCGGGAGGAGTGTGCGCTTCGTCCGAACAAAGTAAGTACTATTTGCTGTGTCAAGCACTGAATAGGATTTTCAAGACAGGGTCCTCCGCATGGCCCACGGCCCAGTTTCCGTGCTTGTGAGCTCGTTCATCGCTCGTCGTACAATAGTTATTTTTTGGTCATTTTGCTCCGACATTTGGCGAATACGGGTCGGTTTTTCTGTTAATAAAAAAATATAAACAACAAATACTTACCTATTTATATATATGTTTTCCGAATTTAGAATAATATTACCGAATTTGGAAAAAAATCATGATTTCAAATAATCTTCACAAATTCAAAAAAATATTCAGAAAAGAATGTTGAATAATGCAAAAATGTCCATAATTCATAAAATATGCATGAATTATAAAAAATGTTCAGAATCACGAAATTGAAAAATATACATGTATTAAAAATCACGAATTTTACAAAAAAATCCTGTATTTAAAAGTTCTTTGTGGGTTCAAAACACGTTCATAAAATAAAAGAAAATTCACCTATTTGAATAAAAATAGAGAAATGCAAATATTTTCATGAATTAAGAAATATTTGTAAATTTAAGAATAATATGGATTTAAAAAATGTTCGTTAATTGAAAAAAAAGTTCACGAATTTGAAGAAAATTTTAAGAAATTATAAAAAGTTCATGGATTTGAAAAAAGGCCACGAATTGTTTTTTAGAAAAAGTAAAAGTAAAACATAACGAAAAATAGAAAACAAATATTCGAAACAAGAACTTGGTGTAAAATTCGAGCAATGAAACAAACATGTACAAAAGAAAGAAAGAGAAACAGTCAGATGCTTGTGGAAGCTCAGAAAACAGGAAAAGAGGAGTGGAGCTAGATGGGTTGGACTATTATAAAGATGTTGCTTGGTTGTCTGGTTGCCCTGCACATATTTGAAACCCTTAAAAAGTTGTGGTTGGAGAGTTAGAAGGACAGCGGTATGCTCAGCCCATCAAAGTTCAATACACTAGTGCTCGCATTTGCCTTGTATTTATATCAGACCTTCCAGCGATGTTTGGCAGGAGACATTCATGTCGACTGCGATGGCATCTGTGACGACTTCGTCAATCTTAAGATGATGGGTCGGTTCAGTCTTTCAGAGGTGCTCGTAGAGTAGGGTGAGTGTGCATACATTATAGGACTGAGTGTATGTGCATATATATGAGTGTATGTTTCTGTACTGTGTTAAAAAAAGTTGCACACTACTCCTATCGGTACCAGTTCAGTATTTGATATTTGGACGCGGCTAGCTATCGCCGCTGTAGTCGTTTGTTGTTCCGAGCGCACTCTCCATCCGTGCATGGAACGATACATCATCCAAGAGACCACGTGCATTTATTTTGGGTTTCAAAACTTTTAAAAAGCCATAACTTTGGATTCGAGCACCGAAATTTAGATCCGCTTTCACCATTTGTTTTATCACGAGAGTTCTTCAAAATTAGATCCCATATGGGCAGGTTTCGATATTTTTTTCTTGAGCAACTTTGGGAGTAATGGAGACAACTTTAGTACTGTAGGAAAGCATCTGGCTTAGTAGGACTATCTATTAGGTTGGCATGTGTAAAAACAAGAAAAAAAACAAAAAGCATGAGACATTTGTATTGCTGTTAAGAAGCAAGTTCATTGCACTATGGGATCGACCTCTCTAGACACCTTTAACCATCCAATGACCCGAATTTGTTTGAACAAGTTCATACATTGATACGTTCATTTTGCATCATGCTTTTATATCAATATTTATTGCATTATGGGCTGTTATTACACATTATATCTCAATACTTATGGCTATTCTCTCTTATTTTACAAGGTTTACCATGAAAAGGGGGAATGCCGGCAGCTGGAATTCTGGCTGGAAAAGGAGCAAACGTTGGAAACCTATTCTGCACAACTCCAAAAGTCCTGAGACTCCACGAAACAACTTTTTGGAATTAATAAGAATTTATGGGCGAAAGAAACAGGCCAGGAGGCCCACACCCTGTCCAGGAGACAGGGGGCGCCCCCCCCCCCCTAGGGCGCGGCCCCTATCTCATAGGCCCCCTGGTGGGCCTCCGGCGTCCATCTTCTGCTATATCATCACTTTTCCCCTAGAAAAAATCGTGGGCAAGCTTACGGGACGAAACTCTGCCGCCACGAGGCGGAACCTTGGCGGAATCAATCTAGGGCTCTGGCGGAGCTGTTCTGCCGGGGACACTTCCCTCCGAGACGGGGAAATCATCACCAACATCATCGCCAAAGATCCTCTCATCGGGAGGGGGTCAATCTCCATCAACATCTTCACCAGCACCATCTCCTCTCAAAACCCTAGTTCATCTCTTGCATCCAATCTTGTATCAAAACCACAAATTGGTACATGTGGGTTGCTAGTAGTGTTGATTACTCCTTGTAGTTGATGCTATTTGGTTTACTTGGTGGAAGATTATATGTTCAGATCCTTTATGCATATTATTACTCCTCTGATTATGAACATGAATATGCTTTGTGAGTAGTTACGTTTATTCCTGAGGACATGGGTGAAGTCTTGCTATTAG